CCATGGCGATAAGCAGGCGAAGCCACCAATCAACAGGTGCGGTGTTAAATGAAACAGCTGTGTATGTAACTCCATAATAACATATCGGACAAACCGTTCATCACAGAGGCATGCAGGTGTCAGACAGCTGGAAAACTTGGTGTATCCGTTTCTTTTGCCAATTGCAAATGTATTTCTCATGTGCAGAGAGTGATTATAACTATAGTTGTGGCAAGCAAATACTAAATCTAAATCATGCAACTCAATCTAATCGTGAAATGTGATCTTAAAACGGATCAAATATGGTATTGGTGATAGGTTTATGATTTACAAAATACTTTCAGTTCTTCCAATAATCAACCCGTCAAAAAAAAATCGTGTGGAACTTTCCAACAGTCCAAAAAAACGGTGCAAAAAGTTCTTCACTCAGGCTGTAGAACCCAACAAATGATGTGAATGTAATGAAAACAATACGCATTCTAAAATACATTCAAAAAATACATGTGATTATTCTGTACATTAAAACGACATTTCCAGGTCATGTATTTGATACTCTTACAGGGGTCCATGTAGTCGCACAAAGTTTCAAAATGTCATGTTTATGTATTCCTACCTCACAGCAAGCATCATTTAGCGTCCCACACTCAAACAGTGTAAAGACATAGCGTACGATCAAAAGTCCATTTCTTACCATTTCATAAAGTATTGACTTGTCCATTTCACCTTTCCCCAGTCCATCCAGTCCAGTTCCCAAGTACACTCAGGCTTACATCCTGCATTTAGAACCTTTTAGGAACCCCTGTCATTGAAAGTGGATAGTGAGTGGCTAACGCTTATGCCATTTTGAGCGTGTCCAGAGCGTTGGCCATGCAGTTATAGGGCCGGCTCATGTGGCTGTCCATGGATGACCTTGCTCCCCTCACCTACCCTTACTGCCTTGGAGTGCCTCCCAATCCCGGGATGGGGTTTTTTGGATCAGAACCAAGTCTCTTCCCCCACAGATGTTACTGCGCCACCCAATGTTATGTCAGTTTGTGAAAGATGTAGTGTTCTGTATGTGCCACAAATTGATTTCTTGGGCCGTTTGAAATCTTAGCCCAACTCTGAGGGCCAGGATAAGGTAGAGAAAGGAGTATAAGGGACAGAATAGAGTAATTTTAATTTAGATTCTGAGTTCACTCCAGATTTGCCTGCGGTTCATATATATCAAGTACAAAACAACAGTCTATTTAGTTTATTATTATTCTTAAAACTGACATTTTATCAACATTTTAATGTTATATAAATGACATTAGTAAATAAATAAATAGATACATAAATAAACACACACTGAATTCCATAGAATATATACAATTATTATTATTATTATTATTACACAACATGTCTTGAGGTGAGGAGATTATTGTGAAGTCAGGTCTGTGGAGTGACTGCGCTCCTCGGGGAAAACTTCATGAGAGCAGATCTGGGGGTCACTTCACTCCAACTCGGGACCGCAAAACTCTATTCCTGGTTTCAAATGTAAATCTTCCATAAGGCCATAACTTGAAAATGTGAGAGCGGTTGTACCCATGCGCGCACTGAGACGTGTTCCAACTTTAGTAAAACACAGGCAGCAGGGAGGACGGCTGCAGGATAAGGCCAGAAAAGTTGGCAAGACGCCTGGTAAGAAATGTGGGTCGTTTTAAGACTGGTGTGTTTGTGGGAGAAGTGGAGGATATTCTACACGTGCAGGTTCTTTCAAACCAACAAAAACAGGTTAAAGTTATACATCTTACCTTTTTGGTGTACTTGTGTCTTGAAAAAAAAACTGGACTTAAATCATGTTTTCATTCATGCATATAGCTATTTTATTCTAGTTTGAGCTGACTAAATATATTGAAATGATTGACCGATCTGCTCCATATGTTGACCCAAAAGTAACATTAATCCTCTCAATCGCCATTGGCTTTGGGGCGGTATCATTCAGAAACGACAACCCTACGCAAGGTGGAACTATAGGGCCGTGTTTGAGATGTTTTTTTACTTGCAACTTGACAGCTGGGTTCGTTGTTTCCCAAGATGCAGACCTTGACAGAGAAAGTTGTAGCTGGGTGCGTTTTTCTTGGATTGGGTGGGCTGTCATCACTGTTGCCGCTGTTTTGACGCAGGTGCACGGATCAAATGACCTGTTGTCCACGCTCCTCTTCTTAACTTCTGCCTATAACGAGACTATTTTGCGCGTAGAGCTGGCGCCATTCAGGAGATAGATAAAAGCTTGTAAAGTCTGACAAGACAGGGTTTGTTTTGCCTTTACGCCCGTCTGAGAAATTATCTTTCACCCTTCTGGAAAAAAACGTGCACAATTGAGAAGCGGTGGCCGTGTTCTCAGTGCCGACTTCTGGCTTTGTCCCGTCCAAAGTGGCGTCTGCGTGTCTGACTCTGCAGTTACTGATTTGCAGCCAGTATGTTAAGGTGGCCCATGTAAGTGATTTTCACGGGCATCCCACTAAAGGAGAACAAATCGCTGACAAAGGAGTGCCTTTCCCATTCAGCAGCGTCGTTAGGACAACCAAAAAGTATTCTGCAGATAATAAGTTCTACTTCAAAGCGTTTCCCAGTGAAGGGTGACTGCTTCACTCCTTTTATTAAGTCCGCCTCTTTTCTAACGCCCAAGGAACTGTCCTCTGCTTATTTTTCATCGTGTTTATTTTGTAGCATTCACTGAGCTCTTGTTTCCAAACAGGGCTTACAAGAGCCGAGTCGAGGCCCTTAGTGTTATAGAAGTGCACAGAAGAAAGGCTGAGAGGAGGCCGCGAGTGCAAGTGAATAAAGCGTTTGATGAAGTGTCGGGGAAAGCCGTAAAATGGACCGACAACCCGGGCTTAAGAGAAACACTGCCCTATTATTATTTTAACATCTTTATCTGAAAACTGTAGCATAACATTTCACGTGCCCATTAAATCAGACAGTACGTAAAAGACGCATTACATACACAACGTTTTATATTTTATTGTTTCCTTATACTTTGATTTTCCCAAATGTTGCTCATTGTGTCTGTTCCAACAGGACATACTTCCAAATCGAGCGTCTCACGAATTGCTATAGAAAATCTAACTTACCATGAAGACTGTTCCTCTCTTTTCTTTTCTCTAAATCTCTTTGATGTGGTGCAAGACTTGGTCAATTTTCATTCTATAGGCTGGACAGCAAGATTTTTAATGGATGGAATAGAAAGGCGGCTTGTTTTAAAGGCTCCATACAAGGTCCTCCTTATTGTCACGCACCGTTTTATCTTTTATGTGGCCTGTGAATGATCCATGCCTCACCACCGCTTTGTATTTCTTCCCATTCAAAGGGCCTACACGATTTTGACGCAATAGACGTAAAGCTGGACTGTGGACAAAACTGGAGTAAAAATAGTGCCCTAAACTATAATATGAAGTTGTATTTAATAATAATAATATACCATTCAGGGTGGCTACAAAACTGACTGTATGAAATCACACTGTTAAATCCATCTTTTATACATGGGTTTTATTCATAAAATGTACCATTATTTGTGGCAAATTATAATGTAGCATTTTTTTGCAGACATTATCCACGCATTTTTCTTTATATGCACCTCAAATAATGAAATCACTACAAAAAGGCATGCCAGAAAATGAATGAATGTACGTTAATCTGCCTAGTCAAATTAATGTTTTTATGTTTTACCCACATACACAATTATAAAAAATAACCCAGTACTTTGATAGTGGACATTAACAATAATATTAAAATTAATAAAAACATCCTCACTACCATACTCACCAAAACGGCTATTATTATTATTTCTTTGGTGTTTCTGCAATTCGGTTACAACAATAATTATTACCAGAAAATAAATTACATTGTAAAAAACAAGAACATCTTCAAATGAATAGAAGTTCACAAACATTCAGAAGCCTCAGTACAGTTATATACAAATAAGGGTTAAAGTCTGCAAAGTGGACATTTAGGGTCTCCAGGGACACTTGAATCAGCATGTGTTTTTGCATAAAATATAATCTTAAATAGTTCTTAAATAGTAAAAAATTCCCTCCAAACAAGTAGTGTTGTATAAATCTGAAAACTCAAACTCATAATCTCTCTTTCTCTCTTTATTTTTTTATTTTTTTTTATTTTTTACCCTTAAACTAATAAAAAATCATTAAAAATATGCGGGCTTGGCCACTTGTAACAAAGTGAGTTTGCCCTTGTGTCTGGAAAATGACAGTGATTGATAGTGAACCAGTTATGAATCTGCTGAGGGATGATGGGAGGTCACCCCGCAATGGCATCAGAGCACACCAGTTGATTCTTGTATGCAAAGAATTTAGAATTTCTATCTAAAAAATAAAAAATAAAGAACTTCTTAATCGTTAATTGAAAGTACAATTTTAAATATTGTTGGGTTGCCATTTTTTGTTGAAAGCAGTATTCATGAATTGATGTTTTAGCCTTGTTCAGTTGGAAATAGTTTTGAAAAGCATCAGTACTAAAGCCAGAATCAGAACTTCACAATAATTTGAGCTTATCTCATGAATACTGACAAAAACAAGACAACATTTGACATCGCTTAAACATTTCTTGATACAATTCAAACTATATCAAAAGTACTGGTCTAAAACCTTATGCCCTATAAAACACATTTTAGTTTTGAACTAAAAGTTACAATTCATCGTCCAAAATGAGCTTTTATAAATAATTACTGGTCTCGAAATTGGTATTGAGTTTTGAGTTTGTTTTCCTTGTATCAAAATCCAGATAGAAATGTTGTTATTTTATCACCTCATCTACCTAACCAAATAGACAAAAAAAATTACTTGGCTCTTTCTCTGTTCTGACCTTAAGTCTGTCCAAATCACAAGCTTGTTTTTCTAAGAGCTATGACTGCATTCGAGTCCATCCAGACCAACATAGTGAGTGCGTTAAAGGAACTCTCCAAGTGAAGTGCTAAAGAATATAGTCTCACAACATACACACGCAGACAGGCACAGTCACGTGGTTGTAAACAAGCAGCGTCACAGCATCGTCCTGGGATCAGAGTGACTGAAGTCCTCATCCTCTGACTCTGACGTGGGCACGTCGCTGGAGGGCGTGTGCATGTGATTGGGACCCCCGCTTCCCTGGCACACGTACCACTCGTTTAAGTTGGTCACCTGCGGGGAGAGGTTCGACGAGCGGTTCCGGTGCGTGTCCGAAGGCGATAGCGGGTCGCCCAGGCTGTTGGACGCGGAGATGTACGGGGTGACGGAGGAGGGAGGGGGGGACTTGCAGTGCACCTTCATGTGTTTGCGCAGGGAGCTGGGGTGCGTGTAGGACTTGTCACAACCGCGCACTTTGCAGTAGTAAGGCTTGTCGCTGGTGTGGACGTGAGAGTGCTTCTTGCGGTCGCTGCTGTTCGCAAATTTTCTGTCACATCCATCGAATTCACACTTGAAGGGCTTCTCTCCTGATGGGGGAAATGCACACACGATTAGGCCACAATAACAACTGCCAGTCGCCATGTTGATAGCCTGAAGTATAGACAGTTATGGGTTTCAGAGTGCAGGACCATTGCCATTTGTTTGACAATTCATAATAAACTGGTATATCTCTTTAGGATCCAGAGGTTGGCCCATTTTGTTGTGTGCCCTCTTCGTTCACATGCACTTATAAATAAAAATGCAGCATGTTCATATCTTTTAATACTCGCACCATTGAGTGTGTTACTGGTCCACACACAGTTAATTACCTCGCAGCACTTTTTTTCCCTCCTCCGCTGGGGCTCCATCTCAGTCTAGTCCTCCACACTCACTCCCACTTGTCCAAAGCATTTTCATGTGTGAACACGTGTAACATGCCTTAAGGCTCTGTGGTTACATGTACTGTGTCTGTCTGGATATGAGAAGGAGGGGCTGCGCTCTGAGACCACCAGAGCTCCTTATGTATTACCATGGACCAGTGAAACAAATCACATTATAGTGCAGGGTAATTTCTCAGACACGCATATGCACTATGTGTGAACTAGTCTTTACGAACATGATAATGTAAGTCTGGATGCTCCCCTTTAAGTTAGACAACAGTGTCAGATGCCACAACTTTACACTTCAATGTTTGCACTGAGGTTACGAGCTACAATATTTACCAAACCACTTTGACTTGTCACTTCACCCCTCACACCTCAGCGTTTTATGTGTTTTTTCTTGTTTCTTGTTAGAGAGTGTTTCCACATGTCCTGTCGTAAAAAGTAACACTGTGTACGGATGTACATGCAGCAATTACTTACATGTTGTATAGCTCTACACTATGAAAGTTTTGAAAACTTGATCCTAACAAGTATATGAATACAAGGTTATAGTTATCGATACTAATATTTGAGTGCATGTTTACATACCTGTGTGGGTCCTCTTGTGAATCTTTAAATTTTCCGAACGCGCAAACACCTTTCCACAGCCGGGGAATGGACAAGGGAATGGCTTCTCTCCGGTGTGGACTCGTATGTGATTGATGAGTTTATACTTTGCTTTGAACGCTTTTCCTTCTCGGGGACATTCCTCCCAAAAACACACGTGCACGCTCTGTTCTGGACCACCGACGTGCTCCACCGTGACGTGGTTCACCAGCTCATGCATGGTGCTGTAGGTCTTGGAGCAAGGCTTCCTGGGACTCTGTGCGTCCTGGTCGATCCACTTACAGATGAGCTCTTGTTTTATGGGCTGTCGCATGTAACGTAAAAACGCGCCTGCCGCTGCTGCGTGAGGAGTCGAAGCGATGTTGAGATTCATAGAGTTGTACGTGTGCAGAGACGAAGGTCCATAGTGCTCTGGCCTGTGCGCGCTGAAGTGATCCGGCCTTGGATAGATATCTGCCGCCAAGCCCAGGCGCATCTGACCGTTGAGGCCATGGTGATGGTGGGCACCTTGAGACCCCTGCTCATGGAGTCCAGTAAAAAGGCTGCCACTATCTGCGTGCCCGTACGCACCTGTTGGGGAAATGAACATGCCATGGTGATGTGGGGAGGAGGCGGAACTATGCTGGTCGCCAAGCGCATGCATAGCAGAGGCTGAGAGTTCTCTCCTGAGGATGAAGTCCCTGCTGCTCGAGTAGCCTGAGTGGGGGTGGTGGGCAACGGGGAAACCGACCATGTGCGTCGCGTTCTGTGTCGCGGTCTGGGCTTCGTGGTGGTGCTGGTGGTGGCTCTGGATGTGCTGAGACGGGCTAAGTTTCAGAGCGCTTGTCTGTGCCATGTGCTCGGGTCCAAATGGAGTGAGCGCCACTCCGGGGTCGTTGGCCAGCTCCCCAGGGTGGAGGTGGGCATGGTGGGAGAGAGGGTGATGCCCCCCTAGCCCCGGGAAGCCTGTCATATTCTGATGAGGAAGGGCTTGAGTCGCTGCCAAATCCGCTAATCTTAACGTTGGATTCCTCTTGCTTAAAGGGGGTTCCATAACTACACTGACAAGTCCATCCGCACTCCGCGATATTGTTTTTACACCACACCTGACTCTCTACAACATTAGGGAAATATGTATATAAGGGACTATAACTTCTTATGTCCGGCTTCTAACTCTGCTTGCTCCTTTCCCCACTCTGTCCTCAAGCGATTGGCAGAACATACAACAGTTGGAGCACACAGTGGGGAATACAGTTTAGAAATGGCACTGCGGGTATTGGACGGATTTTGGTGACTGGCAGTTAGGAGAACGAAGCGATTGGCTGTCGTTCAGCGCAGGGGCTCAGCAGGGTTCCGCCCCCTCACTCTCTTTATCGCGGTCGACTCCAAAAAGTTGTACTCTACAAAGTTGCCAGCGGATATGTTTTCATCTCTCCGCGCCTTTGTATATTTACTCCTAGACCACTAATATCAATGTGTTTATGTGACGATTCCACCCCATAATTCTCGAGTCCTGGCTCGGTTCGTTCAATCAGCATTTGAAGTCACCATCCAGGGAGAAAGCCCCGTCCTGTGCCGCAGCCGTGATAGCGTGGATGTGTCAGAGGCGTCTCTTGTTTATTTATTTCATTTATCTTTCTGACTAATAGACGTTTACATAGTGCAACACCAAGTAGGCGCAAAGCAACACACTTGTAACTTATTTTCTTTATTTATTTTTTAAATACACACGTAATGTTTCGGATCCCTGCTCTCGAGCTGTTTTGCATTTTTGGAGGGAGACGGCAGTCATGGCACAGATGTGGTCTAAGACATGCGGGGATGCATTTATATACAGTCTATGGCACCATTTTATACATTTAATTATGTTGACTCCATCTAAATGGCATGCACAGAGCACACGCATAAACAACAACACAAGAACAATGTTGTTTTTATGACACATCACTTTTATTACTTTGTTATTACAGTATTTCACATTTTTATTTTTAGTCTTTTTATTTGGGGTGGAGGGTGATTATGACCTTTTTCAGTGACATATAGAGTACAATAAATTATCATTTGAATATCTGTTTTAAAGGGACTGAAAGTGTGTATTAATTGGGAATTAATATACTGAATTCAAACATATATACAATTTATATTTTTATTGTATATTTAATTAAATCATATATTATTACTTTTTGCTTTATTTCTACTTGAGTCTAACGGAAGCCGCCCTGTTCCCTCCTTCTTTCACACTCGCTGTCCTCTTTAAAACAAAGGCGCTTTGTCATAAATCGACTTATTTTACCAAAAGGAGTCAAGAGGGCAACATATGTGGTCTTAATGGGTCGCAGGTCAAACATTCATGAAACACGAGGTCATGTAACGGGAGCAAGTAAAAGTTGTGGTGTGTCAACATATTGATGCTGAGAGAGCAGATATAAACGCCTCCTGGCCCAATGTGTCCGCAGGCAGAGTGGGACCAGGGTCCTCACTCCTCTTTCCACGCTCACTCGCAGCTTTCTGCTTCATATATAGTGCGGTGTGTCGCTCAAACCAGGCCATATATCAGCTTTTATTCCCTGCGTAAAACTCGCTGAAATGGTCTTTGGGGGCTATAATACAGCCCTTGCTTCTGCTAAGCTGAAGGACAGCCTATCAGTCCACTTGAGTGTATTTTTCCCTCTCTATTTTAATTTTCCCTTTCACTCCATTTTGTGTTTCCAGGAATGTTTTGTGGTTTTGCAAAGAAATAAAGAATGTTCTATGCCGGGGTCGGCAGACGTGACTTTGAACTTGGATCAGCTCCTGCGCTTCCTGTGGTGTAGTTTGAAATAGAGGGGGAATGGCACGCACACACACAAATGCACGTTACGTACAACGCAGAGCATACATTAAACTTAGTTTGAAAACGTGGCCCATTTTTCTTGAATATCACTGAGGAGGCGGAAGGGGATATGCTGTGGGTGATATGTGAGTAATCATTTTATTATTTTGTTTAAAGGAGCGAAGCAGGCGTATGTATAAACTTCACGGAGGTGATGAGAATTCGTTAACAAAATCATCAACTGCGTAATTGTATTCCACGAATAGTATTTACACGGTAGAATGTGAATGTATGTGTGTCGTGCCTTCTGATTTCCCTAATCTTGTTTGGTTAACCAACACAACTGCGCGTCCCAGCGCTTGCCACCGCCATACGTGTTCCTAATTGGTGCGGTGACTTTCGAGAACCACCAAAGAAGCACAACTTGTAACACATGGAACCATTAAAAAGTGCATGTACAGTGGTGTGCACCTAAGGCCCATGTGCTTCTCTAACTGCACTAAACTCACAGCCAAACCGTCAGGGTGTGCGCCTTCTGGATAACACTATACACATAGGCCCATTTAAACAAGTGGCATTTCTGAAAGTATGTCTTGCTTGTGTCATTAGGAACACGGAAGACTAAAATGTAGAGTCCAATCCATATCTTTGATATAGTTTACGTTTATGTACGTGACTCTTTGAAATAATATACGCTGTAATATGTAACAAATATGAACCTAGTTGAATAGCTACATTAAGTACATATGCTTCTCGTCCTAATTGTGAAATAAGTTCACTTTTGTAAAGTATTCATTGTTCAGATTATGTATCTGTGCCCAGAGTAATTCAGGTTATATACGCAACTTAGCGCGTACGTGACACCAAATACAAAATAAACATTCGAGTCTCCTGATCTTTCTCCTGGAGCCTATTCCCCAAAACGTTCTCCTAAAAGTAGGCGGTAATTATTAGTGGGAAATGGCGTTGCACTATTAAGTCGTCCCAGCGCATCTCCCCATTGGCTGTGCGCGAGGGATTGATGAGATCCTTTGGCCAATGAGAGCGCAGGATGCGAGTGGAGGGGCTCCAGTTAAAGGGGGCGGAAGAGGAGGTAGAGTCAGTCTACGGAGAAACAGGGACCCTCTACGATAAACACCGCAAGCTACTGAAACATAGCAATCGGAAGAACGTTTGAGATGCTCCAGCTGCTCTTTGGCGAAGGACACCTAGTAAGATAATTAATTAATGTAGCCTAGTGATTTTAATACAAGAGGCAGAGGACACAAGGAAAGTCTGTCTTGTTGTTTGGAATTTTTAGACCGACATTAAAGTCACTTTCTTTTTTTCTTGTTTTTTTTCTGATGCGCGGACTTCTTATTTTTACGCACGCCTGATGCTGGTCAAAAGGTTGGAAGTTAACGCGTCGCTTATCACCACCGAGTGAATTTATTTTGTATAAACTTTCCTCTGAACTGAATTTAAGGAAGGTCGCGGGGTTTTGTGAGAGGTATGTTGCTGGACGCTGGTCACCAGTTTCCCGGACTGGGAGTGAGTTCGTTTGCAAGACATCATTCCGCGAGCGACATGCAGGACAGAGACTTGAGTTTGGCTCAGAACAGCTTTGTAGACTCTGCGCACATGGGGGCTTTTAAACTCAACCACGACCTCTCCCCTGGACAGAGCTCTGCCTTCAGCAGTCAGGCGCCCGGGTACCCCGCCGCGGCTCTGGGTGCGCACGCTCATGTCACGTCCTACGCGAGCTCCCCTTTCAACTCAACCAGGGACTTTCTGTTTCGCAGTCGCGGCTTTGGAGAATCCTCTCCGGCCAGCGGCCAGCACACTATTTTTGGCCCCACGGCGGGATCCCTACACCACTCCCACACAGACTCTCAAGGCCACATTCTGTTCCCCGGCATCCACGACCAGCACGGCTCTCACGGATCCCCCAATGTGCTCAACGGCCAAATGCGCCTCGGACTACCGGGGGAAGTGTTCGGGCGCTCTGACCAGTACCACCAGGTGTCCAGTCCGCGGACAGACCCGTACTCTGCCGCTCAGCTTCACAACCAGTACGGCTCCATGAATATGAACATGGGGATGAACATGGCAGCCCACCACCCCGGTGCCTTCTTCCGCTACATGAGGCAGCAGTGCATCAAGCAAGAGCTGATCTGTAAGTGGGTCGACCCCGAGCAGCTGAGCAACCCCAAGAAGTGCTGCAACAAAACTTTTAGCACCATGCATGAGCTGGTCACGCACGTCTCTGTAGAGCACGTCGGCGGACCCGAGCAGACGAACCACATCTGCTTTTGGGAAGAGTGCTCCCGGGAAAGCAAGCCTTTCAAGGCCAAATACAAACTGGTCAATCACATTCGGGTCCACACAGGCGAAAAGCCTTTCCCATGTCCGTTCCCCGGCTGTGGAAAAGTGTTCGCTCGATCAGAAAACTTGAAGATCCACAAACGAACTCATACAGGTAAATCCTCCACCATCATGATTTGTTTTTAATTAGCACAATTATAGCATCGTAACAAAGTGTGTAATTAATATGTTGCAGTATATGGTGTTATATCTGTGATTCCTAGGATTCATTTGTATTTATGAACGTCCGTGTAAATGTACGTACATAATCCCACCATGTAGGCCTTACATATTGGTAACATAGTTGTGTTTACATTCCACGTAGGCCTATTGTGCAAAGTTTGGAATGAGGTCAAATATGGCTCATACACAATGTCTCTTAAACCATCGTGGAATCTTTAGTTATTCAAATTCCAACCACTTCTCTCTCAAATTCACTTTCATTTGCATGGCATTTGCAATTCATCCTTTCTGTTGTGTTGTAGATCTTTTAGCCGCACTTTTTATGCACGTCTTTTGTTTTTCATGTTGTGCCCCCCTCCTCTTGATGGGAGCTTAGGTGCTAGACAGGGCCATTACTATGCTTTCATTTTTGGACTTGTATTTACTTGAGGGACAGAATGACGGTGCCACGCTATAAAAGTGGTCAGGTGTTAATTAGAATTGTATTCTTTACGTTATCATGTTGTTTTAGAACCCAATGACTTGAATGTGTCAAATACATAAAACATATTATATAATTCAAGCCAGTCTTTTCAGTGAACTCTTTTGTAGCCAAATATTGGTTAGCATTTATTCAGTATAACATTTTGAAATGCTTGTTCTGAATATGAGTTTGTCTCTTAAACACCTCTTTTTTGTCTTGTCTCTAGGAGAGAAGCCCTTCCAGTGTGAATTTGAAGGCTGTGACAGGAGGTTTGCGAACAGCAGCGACAGAAAGAAGCACATGCATGTGCACACTTCAGACAAACCGTATCTCTGTAAGATGTGTGACAAGTCCTACACACACCCCAGTTCCCTACGAAAACACATGAAGGTAAATGTCCCTCTCAGCTGCTGACTTAAATGCTCATTGTAAATCCAATTCCCAGTGCAATCTGATCTAATGTTTTTCTCTAATCTATTCCAGGTCCACGAGTCCTCTCCTCCCGGCTCAGACTCTTCCCCAGCGGGCAGCTCTGGTTATGAGTCGTCCACTCCTCCAGGCCTGGTGTCCCCCACCGCAGAGACCCAGAGCAACACCACCCTGTCCCCCGCCTCAGTGGTGCACAACTCCAGTGGACACAGCACCCTGTCCTCCAATTTCAGTGAGTGGTACGTGTAGGACTCTGCTGAGCTGAAGCCACACACACTCTGAACAAAAACAGAAAAGCACTGGACCATCCTGCACGAGAATGGGACACGTGCACGTGAGAGGCACACAAATTATGTTTATTTTGTATTTTAATATAAAGCTCCTCGTACGAGGGGAATAATCAGAGGACTTATGTATTATATATGAATATTGTAAATAATATTGGAAACGCCCACTTTCCTATTTGTTGTGATAGTGTGTCTGTCCTTGGTGTAGATGTCCCTTCAATGGTAGCTATTTCTCTATTTCCAACTAGTGCACATACTCAGATAACGCTGTATCATGTTGAATATTGTGATCTTAAGGCAAACTGATTGTACTATGCTAAACATCTATACTGCCGAGTGCCAAAGTTAACATGAAACTGGAACAGACCACGATATATTGCTTGTGAATGTACTTTTGTTTAATTTAGTTTGGGCTTAACTTGTGATGTTTTGTGCTTTGCAAGTTTTGAATTGTGAAATACTATCTGGAAGGAAATTAAACGTTGTGCCGTTGGGTTTTCTGTAACTACACTCTTCCTGTTGTAAATACCAACTGCCATATTTATCCATTTGTAATTAAATTATGCTATTTACTTGCTACAGATAAAACAGTATTTATAAAGAATGTTTCTTTACTATAAATATGTACATTTATGAGCTTAACACGGGCAGTTGTTTCGATTTATGTGTTTTTGTCTAAAGTTTTAAGAGTTGTCCTTCCTAATTGTGATAAAAATTTTACTGCATACGAATATAATAAAATGTGTTGCAAGTATTAACATGTATTCTCATGATTATTATGAAATGGTTTTCATGGATTGGAAAAATATATACAGCCAGAATTGAATTTTAGATGGCAATGCCACTGAAGTAAAAAAAAAGGCTATCATAGGTCGTTGATACCCAACACAAATACATTGTAATATGTGTAATATTGTCACTAATATGCCTATACTACTAATAGTAATATGCATATTCTACTAATAATATTAATATTATGAATCAGACTGGACTAGGCCTGTAACATCCTACTTAAATTATGGTCAAATACACGCAGGGATTTTGAACTTAAACCTCGTAATGAATGGTGTGTGTAGTATTTTAGTATTTGTTCTTAGTGTAGTTGTGGAGAGAGCTGTCCTTGTGTCGCTGCTGTGTCTGAGATGGAGCCAGGAGCGGGGGGCAGTGAGCTGAGCCTTGCGGCGCTCTGGCAGCGGCAGTGTCCGCGCACTGCCGCTCGTTACTGAGAGGAATAGATAAACATGTGGAATTGAAGTAAACATGAATCCGAGTTTAACTGTGATCTAACCGGAGCGGGGGAAGCACCGCGAGAGTAATTGCACAAATAGTTGCGTGGCTCCGGCCCGGGGCTCTGACCTGTTGGCGGAGGAAGGCGCGACCTGCGGGGAGCGGGAAAGGTCAGTGCGCAGAGCATGGGGCCGGTTCTGCTCGGACCCTGCTGAGCTGCTATCGATCCTTAGAAGAAGTTTTCCCTCTTCTGTCTTCCCCAACTGTAGCCTACAGTGTGAGGTGTATTGTGGGAAGTTGCAGCTCTGAGTTTGAGGACGTGTTTCATTTTAAATACAGAACATCTCGATTTAGGTCACATCCGTCTCAGATTATATTTTCAGTGACTAATTGCAATACGATTTAATCATGACAACATTTATTCTACATATATTAAAGACTGATTAAGAACATTGCATGGCATGGGTCTGCACGGTGTATGTGTTACTTTAAAGAAAGCCTTTTATACTTTTGATTCTCTCCCATGATTATAGGCCCATACGTTTGGCATAATTAAACTGTCTTCATTCATGTTTTGGCATTTCCCCAGATGTTGCTTTTGATGAAAATATATTAGCCATATTAGATTTATTTGAGAAGTATTGTCTTTTATAATGTATTTGCATTATGTGTTCGTCGCAGGGCACCTGAGGCCATGTCCCTGGCAAAGGGCCTGCTGCCTGCTGTCGGGCCCCAACCTGCACATTTCACCGTTGAATTAACACGTCCATAGGACGTCCATTCCTCATTCCTCTATTTTAGAAGTTGCACGCATGTCACGCACGTTGTAATTCAAATAGGTCATTGATTTGTTTATTTCATAAAGGGCACTTTTCCACATACCGTATTATTTAAATAATGTGTTCAACAGTAACATTGTGCATAGTGGATCCAACAAATAGGCTAATTAAATAAATAAACACGTGTGTAAATGTCTTGTTTTCCTTTGGCGCAGTGGAGGATCTATCAATAGCCCAGTAAATCTACAGTAGCCTATTAAAAGGTGCAGGGTGAGACACTCGGGTCACTCCGTCCCAATTTGAAGCTACATTTTGTGGCTTGCTTCGCTCATCTGGTTTACTAAAGGCTTGTTGGGCCTTTTATTGGGGAAAGAAACTAAAACTAAAAAAAACTAGAAATCCATATCTAATTCAAGGCTGCTCTATATGACGTACATGTGCGTGCGCTCACGCGGACCAGAAACCATCTTGCGCGTGTTAAATTAACTATAAAAAACAACACAAACAAAACCTGTATTTTGTGTGCCTGCGTGTTGATGTGATTTTTTTTATTTGAGTCAAAGGCATCATTGCATTGAGATTCCACACACATGAACTTGTGTTGACTAATATTTATTTTTGCTTGTATCAACAAAAAATTTGAGCTCTCCTTCCAATATAAACAACAGCTATTGCTCTTCATGTTTTCATTATAGCTTGAAATTTTAACTTTTCTGTATGGCTCCAGTAGTTTGAGTTTTTATTTAATTTGGAATTTGTGAATGATCAACACCTTTACAATTCGGCAAATGTCTATTGGGGTCAGTGTACATATTTGTTTTTGCTGGGTTACCTTTTTCATTTTTTAGAAAGAAACAAATCATGATAAATCTCGATTGTATTATAACTTTTGACTAAAGGAGGTATTCGTCTGTTTGCCTGGTGTTGAACTACAGTGTGCCTTTCTGTGCACCGTGGCTCCGGGGCCCTTTCATCTGAGTTCAGCCGACTTCTTTTCTCACACAGATGAATGTGTGTGTGTTTTTTTTCTCCTTCTGTGAAAGAGCCGGAATGACTGTCACTTCTCATGGCACCGTAGAAACAAACAGAAGCCCCACTCCTTTAAGGAAACCGGTGCAGGCGCCTCCCATCGGACACAAACACTACACACAAGTCAGTCACACAAATAGCCCCAAAAGCTCAGAACATTCAGTCTTTTTATGCACTTCACTGTGATTGTCCCTCTCTGCAGTGGAAGGAGGTGCCATCCACTGAGGTACTACTATACCCTACAAAAACAGTTTCAAATAAGTCAAAGTTGTTGTATGATACAAGTCAAAATACCTCTCTCTGTGTGTGTGTGTGTGTGTGTGTGTGCGTGCCTCTCTCTCTGTCTATGTGTGTGTGTACGTCTCTCTCTCTCTCTGTCTGTGTGTGTGTGCGTGTGCCTCTCTCTCTGTCTGTGTGTGTGTGTACGTGTCTCTCTCTCTGTCTGTCTGTGTGTGTGTGTGTGCCTCTCTCTGTCTGTGTGTGTGTGTACGTCTCTCTCTCTGTCTGTGTGTGTGTGTACGTGTTTCTCTCTCTGTCTGTCTGTGTGTGTGTGTGTGTGTGCCCCTCTCTCTGTCTATCTCCCTCTGTGTGTGTGTGTGTGCCTCTCTCTCTCTGCGTGTGTGTGTCTCTCTCTATGGGTGGGTCTCTCTCTCTCTCTCATAATATCCTCTTTTTTAAAAACAATATAATGGCTCAATATTAATTTTTTTGTACTTTGTATAAATGGTAAACTCACAATAGATGGTATTAGTAAAGCTGGCATTTGTTGAGCAGGAAAGTGTCACTTTTTCCTGGAGGAGCTAATGGGAAATCTTAGCGGACGTACAAATTGGCCCTGTACCGCCCACAATTTGATCCCAGGGTCTTTGTTACTGTGAGGCAAGAGCACTGACAGGATGAAGAAATGTAAACATTAGGAATACTAGTGTTGCTAAAGACACCTAAGTTCTGAAAGTCAAAGTTGGTGAGATTCTGGAGATCTCCAAAGACCATAGCGCCTCTGAGAGCCATTAACAAGGCCACAACACATGTTGACTGTGTGTTCATGTACTTCCTGTAGACGCACACAGCTAAGGAAATTTTCAATTTCCCCACACCTGTAAACATGCTGTTTTACCTCAGCTGCTTTGATCTTCAAACAGAGCTGGCCTGCCCCGGGGACCCAGGGAGGAGAGCTGATTGGGTGGTGCTCTGTTTTATAGGAACCCTTTGCTACAAAGTGGAATATTCCTTCCTATTCCATTTTGCTTTTCATATTTAAGACAAATAATCTGTTTTCTAAGCTGCACATGTGAAATATACTATTATTAGATGATTATATTAATATGTTGTGATCGTAATGCATAATAGTCAATCTTCTGAGTTAACAGAGTATAGAATTTTCAGTATAGTCATAAATGTAGAGGTAGTTCTCTAAATACACTATTATTCTTTTCAAGAGCTTTGGGTCATCATGTAACATTGATAATACCATTTAATCACAACAATAACTTTGAGGTTTGAGTTCATTGCGGAGCCTTAACATTACATTTGACACATTAAGAACATTTCTGAAGTATCAAAATGTATTTGTTGATGAAAGAGTGAACTTGTGCCCCTCCCTGGGCTGTCACTCACGTCGTCTTCATTTGTGATCAGAAAGCACATTTATGAAAGCTGACATTCCCTTAGACTCTTATCCCAGATATCTGTCACCTGCTACCTTTCCCTTCTATTTAACTTTATTGATATTTTTCCCTCAAATCTTTCTAAACAACCCCTGTGACATGAGTCTAATCTGGTTTGAAGGTTTGTTCCCCGTCAAATTGCAACAACATTTTATTCATGATGTGTTGTGACACCAGCATGTCGACTTTTTCATGTTTAAACATGAAAAAGAGTTAAATTAATGCAATAATTTTGCACTCTAAGATTGTAAAAATGAAGTGGCACAGGCTTCTTGTTTAACACACAAATATACACAGCATAACTGCTGTCCAAATAATGTACGTATTTTCAAATTGGTAAGCAATAGACAAACACGATCAAAAGAATTCTCAATTGCCTAATTGTAGACTGCTTCTTAAAATAATTATAATCTTTAAAGGGAAAAGAAAAAGGTCTGAGACACTTTAAAGTAAACATCCTTTATTTACTTGGGACACCTTTTTTCCCCTTTAATATGAAGCTTTTTGCATTTCAGATCCTGACCCACCTGACCCGCATACTCACAGCAGCACTCATAAAGCACTTCTAAAACAGTTGCAAAGTGCTGCACAAAGACAAACCAACAGAAGAAAACTGTTGATGCTGATATCATGTCAAAAACAATATAGAAAAGAGAATAAATGGCCATTCCATAAAAGTGACATTTAAGAAGTGATTTCACATTTGGTTCTGATGATGCAGGCCTTATCTTATCCTTCAGGCTCTTGAGGAGCACGGGCTGAGGAGGCCTTTTGTCCGGAGCCTTGACTTTAACTAACAGAGACCTGGACGAGGCTCTAGGGAGGCTCATAGGGGGTTAAAAGATATAAAAGATATATAAATATAAATATATATAAAATATTTGTTGGAGGAAGAAAAGCATCAAAGTGATCAGTAAAATTCAAACTTTTTTAGTATTTGGAAGAATTTCCAAATTACTGGGCGACAGTGGCTCAGTTGGTAGAGCATTGGCCTTTGGGGGTTCGAGCCCATCATGGGATCTACTCCAACTGCTCCCACAAATGCCTACTGGCGTTGTGTCCTTGGGCAAGACACTTAACCTTGCCTGAAGCCCCTGCTAAAAAAACAAGGGCCAAGAAGCCATTTTCCTGTGGACCCACCACCTGCCAAAGGATCAGTGAGGGACTGGTGCTATGAGCATTGGGTGGCAGCTCTCATTGCCACCCCCTGACCCAGAAATTGACTTATAAAGGGTTTGAAAATGAATGAATGAATGGAAGAATTTCCATCAAAAAATATTGCCCATTCCTCCTGATCGAACTAATGTACCTGAGTTATGTCTCATCCTCCTTTTGGGCTCTGCTTGGACATTTGATATGTGACTGAAATGGCAGCAGTGAGATGGCACTTAATAACATTGACTTTGTTGTCCTTAATCCACTTTGCAACTACTTTTGGCTGTGTGCCAACATATTCAGGGTCATTGTCCTTTTGGAAGACCCTTTCCACCCAAACTAACTTCTTTACAGATGTTTTGATATGTTGCTTCAACATGTCCACATGCTGTTCCATCTGCACGGTGCCATGTGTTTTTGATCTGTACCAGTTCCTCCTGTAGCAAAACAGCCAACTTTAGAGTTGGGATGATTTCCCCCTTTATTTCCTCTATACGTCATTATCGCTCCCTTGAAAAAGAGGTTCTTAAAGTGATAGTCTGTAACTCTAAATGAATTACAAATTTTAGGAAATGTGTTAAATTGACCTCCTGGCCTTAAATGTTGATATAAAATAAGTCATTTTATTAATTCCAATATTACGGGCAAGTCCCGCCTTCCCTGCTCTTAGCTATAGTTCAGAATCCACGGTGCCGTAGAGGTTAACCAATCGAGTCATGCCAAGGGCTGTCAATCACCGGCGCTGATGCTCGCAGCTGCGCGCATGCTCAGTTGTTTGTTTTCGCGGGGCCTCTGAATCAAGCCTCTATTAGGCTCTGGAACTACATGAAAACTGAACAAAGAATTCTGAACATCCACGCTGAGTTACCCATTTATATACTGAACCTATATCCATAATCAGATCCTCTGCAGATGTGTCCTATAATGTGCAATTCATGATAATAGCACTTCCTGGTTTGCCACGATCGCTTTTTTGTGTGCATAAAAACATATTTTTTTTCATTAAAACGTTAACAAATAATTCTGAAAACCTCCGTGCATGTGTATTAATAATGTATATGTATATGTTCTCTGATTAACATTTCAAAGTGTTACGGAAACGTAGGTGTAGACCA